TGTACAGTTTTTGGAACCTGTTTATTCTAATAAACACCCTGCACTCTGCTAGGCTTCCAGGACCTGGACCTCAGGTTAGACGCTGCGGCAATGAGGCGACATGGACATGGTCCATGGTTTCCCATCTGGGACCACTGCACCACCATGAGGGCAGGGAGGGGACCAGTGTTTTAAAGGCCACACGGCAATCTCCTTTCACACATGGACTGGATGAATTATCCCCTATTCATAAGAGCAGAAACAAAATTCTAAGAGAAATGTAGACCAGAACGTCTAGGTCTACCTGCCACTATCATAAACAAGCTCTTCCTCTTCTCTCCATTGTTCTCCCTTCAAACTCTTGAAAGCAAGCCCCACTGCCTGGAGACTTAGCTAACTTCCCTTTTTGAGAAACAGTTTTTGGTCAGCTGAGAGCAGAATTTGGAGCTAGGAAGGATGATCGTCAAAATTTTAAGATAAAGTTAAGCATGAAATAGAGGATTTTAAAGACAATATATATAAAACTTTGTGGGGTACATTATGGTAACTAGGTTATCTATATAGTATATGATAATGAAATGAAGGTAATAAACATTTCCATCTCTTCAAATGCTAATAGTTTCTATGTGTTTGGAATTCCACACTCTTCTAGTCATTATAAAATATGCTATCGGGTTGTTCTAACCAATAGCCTACTGTGCAATATAAAGCCAGAAATAATTCCTCTTCCTTGTATTTGGTACCCCCCAAATAGGACATATCATAATTTTTACAAAGTTTCATTAAAGAATTCTTAGATTAGTATTTGCCATTATGTTGCTCATGAGTTAACAAAATACTTTTAAAATCTATTCTATGTGTGGCCACCACACATTTAAAAAAATGTTTTAGTACAAAGATATTAATGGGTGAGACGATTCCTTCAATTCCTTCAAGAGTTCCAGGAAGCAGCTGGATGTATGTGTAGAGGGGACAGATGTCACCATGGGCTGATCAAGTACAGACTGGTCGATAACTACAGGGTATGACCATCAGAAATATGTCTCAGAGCTGTCATATGAGTTCTTGATCGTTAGTTATACCTTGGATATTATAATATGCTCTAATTTTTCCATATGCTGGAAATTTTTAATAATGTCCATAAAATCTGTGTATGCTTAGGATTTGTAAAGATCATCAGGATACTAAGATGCTACTTCCTGAAGCAGCCCATGTCTATTTTACCTATATCTTGAATCCAACCACCAGGAAGCACCTCTCCGGCTACCATCCTTATTCAAACCATTGCCATCTCTCCGCTGCATTAATGCCATAGTTTCCTAAAGGCATCTGATTTTTAGTTTGCCCTCACCTCAGTATCACACAACTGCAGTGATCCAGTACTTTAAAGCTTCAAGGAGATCCCATAAATTGTCAGACTCATAAATTCAGCTCTCTACTAAGCTTTTCTGTTGCTCTTTACTGAACACCTGAGTGTTTGTCTCTGCCTTTGTTGTCCCACAATGCTCCTTCCACAGCCCCCTCACTGCACTCAGCCTCTGCTTCAGTGTCACCTCCTCCCAGACAATCTCTGACCATCTAATTGAAGTGACCCTCATGACGTACACACACACAGAGGTATGGCTTCTTCTGCCTCCGTTTTCTTAATAGCACCTTGGACTATTAGACATCATCTATCTACTTATTTACTTCATTACTTTTCCTTAAGATCAGTGAATTGTTTAGCACTGCTTCTCTAGGGGGTGTAATGAGAATTCAATAAATATTTACTTACTAAAGGAATGATGGGCACTGTTCTCTGCATATTAGAAGTTCAAAATATTGCAGCTAAAAGAGTATTATAGTGCGTGTAACTTCTCACATCTAAAAGGTTTGTCTTTAATTGGAGGCTCTGCTGGTTGATGGTAGGAATGACGGGGCAGGGAGAGGATGGACGCTAGAGCACTGAGAGCATTGTGAAACCCTCAACATTTGTAATGCTATTCATCATGGACATGAAAGGGGTGTGTTGAAGAGAAATAGTAGACAGGTGTCCTGAGCAGGATTTACTCTATTATTAAAGGAAAACTTCTCCAACAAGATTATAGATTATGTCATTTGTGTGAAAAATAGGCTGTGAATAGGTGACTGCAGGTTGCCCTAAGTGACGAGGATGTCTGGCTCTTGAATTAGGCAGATGCTGAGGGTTTGCAGCCACTGCCAGGGCTGTCCTGAGTGTGTGGGTGGGGACAGTGCTATTGTGATATGGCGTCTAATTGGCAGGAAACTGAATTCCACAGTTACACTTGAGGTTTCTTACAATTTTGAATCAGGAAGTGAAAACACAAATGGAATTTTTAGACTGCTTTATACAACGTAATTTCTGAAGGGAAGAACCCCATTATCGCCAGTCACTGCATAAAGGAAAAAGTATCGAGACCAGAAATCAGGGTTGCTGCTCTGCATTTTCTACTGTTTTATGTTATGACCAGGTCCAGTGTTAGTCTCTCTTCTCAGTTCTCTCTGGAGGCTTCTGTGTTCTCCTGGACTTCTTTTCTTTGCAGCTTAGTGAATGGGGGTGTCCATGTCAGTGAGCCTTGGTGACCCCTGACCTCAGTGGAGCTCACCGCTCTCTCCTAGTCTTGAGTGCCCAGTTCAGAGTACAACCAATAACTTATGAGTCACTTCCTTAGAGGTGACCCATCATCTCAGTGCTAAAGGGACAAGGGACTTTCAATGCAAGAATCAAAATAATCCCAGGCAAACATGGACAGGTTGGTTACCCTACCACTCGTAAATTTAAGGGTAGAATTATAGCTCATGGGCAAATTCTTTACTCACCTCCTTTTAACTCTCATTGCTTTCAAGGATCTCTCTTAACTTCTGTAAAAACTTAATTATATTCACTGAACAGAAGCCTGTGATTTCTGTGACACCTCAAGAATAGTCTAGAAAGGAATTCCCCGGTACTTACATTCACACCTCTGCTTTGCTTTATACCCTAAAATGCCTGCTTGCGTCACTACTTATGAAAGTGCCAATATGCTGCTGTCTACGTTGACAGTTTAGCAAGAGCTGTGTGTCTCCATCAGGCATGAGGTGCCTCTGATAATGTGTCTGCTCACAGTCTAGCACTGGGTGCTGTGTCCTGCAGCACCCCATCTACCAGCATCCGTTCTTCACACCGCACTGCTGGGCTCTGCTCCTCACTGATGCTGGAGTGCAGGCCAGGAGCCCTGTGGGCTTCTCTGGCAGGCCACCCACACACTCAGCACTTGGCAAGTTTTGGGGAAAGGCGTCCTTCTCTCTGGGATGACCAGTTAGGAGAAGGCAGCCTTTCCTCTGGCAGCCCGTGAGGTACCAGGCTTGCCTAGGACAGCTCTAGTTGGCTTTCACTCCAGCTCCAGTCTCTTTTGCTGGGTGCATACTTTATTGAACCACATACCAGCTCTGCTTCCTACACTACTGACCAGCTGGTCAGATGTCTGGTCAGACAGTTGTTTTTTTGTGAATCTTCAACTTTGGACCCTGAGTTTATTCCTTGCTTCCCTGCTTCTGTCTTTCAGCTTCCATATTGCTCCCATTTAAGCTGCCATTCTTAACCAAGGGTGTAAAAAGAAAGAATGAAATAGCCCATAAAAACCTACATAGGTGACCACAGTTGTATAACATTTGACCATTCCATCGAATATTGTAATGAATTCAGGTTAGTGCTGATATCAACACCTACCCCTGCCCTCCATTGACAGCAGTGCGTTGCTCCACCTGATATCTGCTGGCCTCTGGATCAGTTTTCTAGTTATTCTATCCCCCCTCTTTTTCCCCTAGAAAATGTTTAGTCTGGCTTTTTACCATATTTCTTCTTTCCAAAGTTAGTTCAGGAAGGGAGTTTTCTAATAGAATTTTTACTTTAGACTCTGACCAAAATTCCAGATATCTTTGTGTCAAAGATGAAAGCATGAAACCCGGCTACTTGAGGAATAATAGTTCTTAAAAGTTAAAGAAGGGGAAGAGAGCATGGGAAGGACAAGTTGTGGCCCAGTGGCTCTATCATCCCAGTCTTGGGAGAACGGTGGCTGTAACAAGGAAGATCCATTTGGGGACAGATGCAGAAAAGACACGAGACAAGAGAAGAGTGATTCGGACCAGCTGAGCCACGTTGCACTGGGACTCTGAAAACATCTAGGTAAAGAGAAGCTTTTGCTATTTGGAAGTGTAGGATTTAGAGTTTAAATCAGTTAGATCCAGTTTCCTTGATGGGACATATAATTACCACCAAGTATGAGCCTGTATGAAGCTTCATGTGTTACATAAAAAACTCGATTTCATTTTGTAAAACGGAAGCACAGATTGTTTTCATTTTGTGACTCCATTTAAATGCAAGCCACCTAGCAATCTGGGAAACATCACTGTTTCTCCCTGTTCACAGCTCAAATGTTCACCCAATAACTTAGCACAGAGCCTAGAGTTACTGATGAGGATAATACAACCATCAGCTATGTGTTATATATATCACATAATGTATGTACTCATATTTTAGAAATAGCAGTGAATGAATCCAGGAAGAGGCCAAATTAGCATCACCGAGATGGTTTCACAGGCTGCTTTGTTTAGAGAATGTTAGGTTCCCCTGAAATGCCTTTACACAGTCAGGTCTTTGCTAAGATCAAAACCCAGTTTTTACTTTTTTTTTTTAGGCACCAAAAATAGCTTAATAAATAGAAACAGTTTCTCTAGGGTGTCTTTCCTCTGTGGAGTACGTGAAAAGGATGTAGGAAACATTCACAGAGAAAGCTCATTTGCATTCACCAACCCCAGATGGGGTTTGATTTCTCATGCATGAGAAATGAACTTGAGCCCACTAATTGTGTAATCACTTCTTATGCCTCCAGTCATCCTCCTCCAGAAAAGCCTCCTCCCACCCTAACTCCTGGCCCAGGAGAAACAGTGGCCCCTGTTTCAACTTTTTGCAACATAGGTACACAACAGTCTTCAAGTGAATCACTCTCAGTATACCACAGTGGGAACTACGCTGTACTTACTTGTGTTTATCTTCTGGAGTGAAATGTGCTTTTCCAGTTGTCTCCGAAGCTTCACCTCGGCCCCATATTTTCCAGTGGTCCCATTGTCGGCCAGGATGAAGTGGGAATGCATACTGTTGAGAACAGTGAGTTTGCTCATGGGGTTGGACATGGTCTGGTACGGCCGGACCACCTGCAGGGCATTGAAAGGAAAAGGCAGACATCAGAGAAAAGGAACCAAATTAGGAGGAGGAGAACCGGAAACAGGAAGAGAAAGAAAGAATTTCTGTCTTTAGTACAGTGAAAGTGCAGTCTGCATCCTCTCCCTACAATTGCTTTGGGTAGAAGTAAGATTTATGATAAAAATTCCATTCCAAGCAAGTCTGTGCCTAAAGAAATATTTACCACACACGGAAATGAGAGTTTGTGCTTTTACACTAAAAACTAGGCATGGTAATGACTGACATACTTTGAAGTTGATTGTGTATTTGATAATGAACAAAAATAATTTTTAGATTTAACTATTTTGTTTCTCCTCTTCTCTCATACCTTACCAGGCACAGCAGAACAATTATGATTCTGGAAATGGAGGATACAAGAATATAACTTCTCTGTCAATCCTATTTACTATCTGAAAGCTTATTGTGTAAAATCAATACTGTTCTTGCTAGATACCTTATTTAAGTGTGAAGTAAGTTGAATTAGAATAACTGTGTCATGAGACAATTATGAATCAGGCCCAAAATTACGCAGTGTCAACTGGGATGATTTCAGGGTTCTTCCAGATTTTTGCTATAAAAAGAAAATCAATATTTCTGTAAGCCAGTGGTTTTATATACATTATCTGCATTCCTTGGAAGAATACGGAAAGTTACATGATGTGTTCATATCATAGAATGAAAAAACTTGGTAGAACAGAAAGGTAAACTATACTATCCAGGTATATATATATATATATATCCAACCAGAATTCACATGCAGGTCTGACTGATTCCAAAAAATCTATGCTTCTTTCTTTTTTCCACAGTGTTTACACCCAGTAGAAATATAAGTTGATATGTTGGAAAGCTTCTTCTAAATATTTAGGAAGGAATTTCACTCAAGGCAGTGAAAAGAGAATCTTCAACAGGCTTCTTGTTACATGGTCTCAGTATAGTTATCACTGTTCTGAATCACTGAAATTGATGGGGCAGAAATAAATACTACTGCGTTTTTATTTCTGTGCCTTTGTGCAGTGAGTACATTAATTATAGAGGTGAAATGCTCTCTTTTTTTCAGAATCTAATAACTCGCCATGAAAAGCTGCAGTAAGATCTAATAGTTTGTTAAAAGGAATTATAAAGTGATTTAGTAAGGGCAGCCTTCAAAAGTGAAGATCTCATATAAGTTATTTTTTCAACCTTGGTACTCACTCAAAGTCTCTCATGGTCTACCAGTGTCTAGAAAATAAAGTGTACTTGATAAATAATGAATGAACAGGCAAACTTGAGACAGACAAGCTTTTGTTTAATCTGAAAGACAATCTTTCTGAATTGTTTGGGAATTGACTATAAAATTTTGATATGTATATAATTTTGAACTTCTGAAATAGCCTTCAGTCCCATAAATATGCCCATGTTTTAAATGTGGTATTAATATGAGGTTAATTCAAAGCTTAATTTTAGTTGGCTCTTATTGATAATGAAAAAGCCCCTAACACTTTTGATTATTGTCTCTGGTAATCACATGAAACAATAATCAGTAACCACTTTGTTCTAGACAATGAAAAGAAATGCTTTAAAGAGAGGCAGTACACACTATTTCCAGCCCTATCCTCTGCTCTTTATCGCTGGAAGCATAAGTTGCCCACCTGAAATTTCCATTATGCTGCTACTCATTTTTTATTATAAAACATTAATTCTACAGCAGAGTTCAAGTTAATAAATATTAGTGGTTTGTGGAAAGGTGTGAAGCAGAAAGAACACACAAAAGTGTGTTCTTAAAGTACCTCAGCCCTGTGCTTTTGGACAAAAGAGAATACTGTTCTCTCTTATACAGTAACAGCTCCTGAAGATTCTACGTGAAGGAAGGAAAAGACAAAGCAGTGAAGTCCAGATATTTGTGCTGGCTGAAACACACACACACACACACACACACACACACACACACACACACACACACTTAAATTCCTGGAAAACTACTGTAAGTCTATTCATGAAGTTAAAGTTTTCAAGTGAATAAAAGGATTACAGTGATTCTGGGCCAGGTTCACAATTACTGCAATTTGAGAAGAAGATAATTAGAACAGTACAGTAGCTGATATCCTGTATTTCCCTTCTCTCCACTACTGGATTCTAAGGGCACTGGGGCTTCAGTCTTCTGACTTGTGACCCTCTTTTCTTGTGAAACACAGTTCAGCAGCTCTAGGGGACATGGTATGTTTGAATCATGACAAAGAGTTAAATTTAGAGTTTGTCTTGAATTCTAATTTCTTCATTGTACTGAAGGCCAGTTAAAGTTGGCCATATTTTGGCAGAGATTTTATCTGCTGAATAATAAGGAATATAAATCAGAAAATAAGTAAAATGACCTAATATATTTTTTAGTCCTCAAATACGTTGGGTCCTAAAACCCTCCTGAACATGGATCATGGGAATCTGTTTGAATCTTGGCTCCATCAATGGCTGTCTGAATCTAGTTTGACATTTTTTGTTAGTGCATAATAATTACATTCATTGTGGGGAGCTACTACTTGTATGTAACACATCTTAATATTTTTATGTCTTCTCTTCTCTTTCATCCCTTGGTGCCTTTCTCCTGGTTTCCTATTATCTTTGTTTCATTTTGCTATTTAATTTTTATACTTTTGTTCAAATCTGAAAAACAAACTTTCTGCATTGAGAATTGATTTAATGTAAAATTTCAATGTGTATATAATTCTGAACTTTTGAAACAGCTTTCAGTCCCATAAGTATATATCTATGTTTTAATATATGTCCATGTTTTAAATATATTATTAATATGAGGTTAATTCATAGCCTCATTTTAGTTGGCTCTTGTTAACAAAAAAGCATGTAACACTTTTCACTATCTCTAGTAATCACATGAGATATTGTATAAGAGAAACCATGCAATATTTAAGCTTATGTGACTCACTTATTTCACTTACCATTATGGTCTCAAGGTACATTTACTTTCCTACAAATGTGGATCTGACTTTTTAATCTTTAAGAAGAAAATGAATAAACCAATTGCCTCATGGGGATTAGCTGAGATCATGCATGCAAAGTAGTTGCTACCCTTCCTGGCTTCTAACAGCTATGCTACAAATATTCTTTCTCCTGCTCTGCTTTATCTTACCAATCATAAGCTGTGTTTCCAATTGTAAATGAGACAAATCTGTGACTTCTGTTTTGCACAAGATAGTTAAGTCAATGTAAACAAAGGATAAGAATCATCTGCGGGCAAAATATGCAAAGTGGTTTTTGTTTGTTATACTCTCCCAAGCATCTAAGGGCTGGTCTGGAACTCTTTGTTGATTAACTGAAAGTTGGAAAATAATTTTGTAAGTACTTTAGAGAAATGCATTTTGGTGTAACTTGTCTACCAAATCCACTTACTATTCTTGGTTACAAACACACCCTCAGTCTACTCTTGAGTTCGTTTGTATAGGCACAAAAGATTTGATGTTCTTTCTATTGTGTTTTCTGAATAGAATAATATCTTTTTAATAACATGAATACAAATCAACTTTTCTCTATGACAACATTTTGGAGGTAATGCAGCCCCTTTCATTGTTAAGAACTGCTAGAGACATGTCCACCTTTTGGATGTGTGTGTTGGTGAGAATGACTGAGATGTGTATAACTTGTGGGCCTCGTGAAGTGTGTGTTGGTGAGAATGACTGAGATGTGTGTAACTTGTGGGCCTCGTGCGTGTGAAAGCACGCTTCTCAGGGTTTTGTGAGAGAATGAATTCCTGCCTCACGTATTCACTGCTTATAAGCAATCACTTTCTTTGTATTGCTATAGAAGGTCCAGAGTATGTACTGTCATTGGAAGAACTGAGAAGAAAGCCACTCAAGGAATACTTGTTGAGAAATTTGAATAGAAAAAAGTATCTGAAAGGCCTTCAAATTAGGTGAATTTTTATGATTGGTAAATACAGTAGTGTCTATACCTAAAACGGAAGTCTCCTTAGAAATGGAGTTTAGTCCTTTATAATTACCTGGACATCAGAGAGCAGAGGACCTCTAAGTCATGATATTTTTCTTTGCTTTCTTATCCCTTAAAAGCCAATGAGAAAATCCTCTACTCACTACTGCATTGTGTACCACTTAGCACTGTACTGCTGATGGGTATAGTTCTAGCTCTGAGGCCCCTGTAGAATCTGACTTTGAAACAATGGTGCCTTGTGAAGTTCACGGGGCTGTATGAGGGGTTGGTGGAGGTAAAAGTCCTTTGATATAAAACACGAGTATGGACAGCATCATTTCTAGGGAAAGACCGAGTCAGAGATCCCACAGACATCCTGTGTAGGATGAGGGCGCTGCCTTTCTATTCCCTGGACAGGCTGAAGTCAGTTGTGCAGAAGCTGCTAAGACACCAGGAGCTTTCCTGGCCTTTTCAGGCATGTTCTGGTCATACCTGTGAGTACGGAGCGGAAAGTCAGCATATGGAGCTCTAGTTCTAATCTTTCTAGGTGCTAACTTGGGAAAGTCTTTGAATTCACTCATTTACTGCAATAAAGAAGTACCGTCACAGGGGAAGTGCTGTGCTGGCCTGAGACATTATTGCGTGTCTAGGTAGTATCCAAAATAATGTTCAAAATGTATTTACTAAAAGAAACTTTTGAACCATGGATTTCTTATCTGTAAAGTAGAAGATCTGACTGGTTTATGAAGGTTTCCTGTCTCTAAACTTGAGTCTGGACAGCCTATGCTAAACAGTACACGTGGTCTTTTCAAGTTAATGCAAAACAATGATGTCCCATGTGTGCTGGTTCCGAAGATGAAGTCATTCTTTTATGTCCTGAGGTCTCTTCCATCTTACTGTACTTTACAGTTGCAGTTTGATAACTTGGGATTCCAAACAGAAATGCATTGGGTTAAATCACGTTTTCATAACATCAGTAACACATCTTGAGGAATCTCAGCCCCATTACCTAGTGAGTTTTAAGTCAGTATGCTTTAGGCAAGCCACTAGGTAGGGGCTG